AAATGAAACGTTCCATGTACTTCATGTACTTTCGTTTAGCACCACTTAATTTTAACTTGATTTTAAGTCAACGTAGAGTCATTAGGCAATTATTCTGCTTGTGTTTCACTGGTACAATGCTTAAGAGGCCGGTTTCGAAATCCGGAGGTGTCGGGCTTGATTTCTGCGAAATACGCTCTTTGGCTTAACCACAAATTCACTTAGCAAAGAATTTACCACATGTTACTGTACACCTGGCATGTACAGCCGGAAGAACGCCGGATTCAAAACAAAGGTCACGCGATCGAGCGCCGGTGGGGTCACTCTATTTTCGCCCTTGCGAGGTAGATGAATCAGCACCACTCTGTGAGAAGGAAACAGGACATTACACGCAATATGCCTGACACACAGCCGCTGTCGACTCTGTCCTCAGAAAGTAAGGCACTCCTGGCTAATGCCACAGTTATGGGTGAATAGCACTCCATATAGGCTTCATGGAAATTACGGCGTAAGAAATGACCCCACGACGAAAACCAAAGGATGACCGACGATTCGGGCTCAGAGGGGAGGGGCGAAAAATCGCTTTGTGTGCATGGTTTAAAGTCTCTTCGAAGCCAATGAGATGCATGGCTTCAAGAAAAGAAGTTCTTCAGCCAGAGTCGTCAATACTCTACGAGGCGTGCCGTGAATCAGTGAAACAGAGGCCGATTAAATTCGTTGGGGAAAGTGACATATAAGAAAAAACGCATTCGACCTCTGGACGTAATTGTTTCGCCTGTAGTCGTCAGAAAACGATGACTTTAACGTTATGATGCGAAACGTTTCATGGGTTGGTTTGTGCTCTTAGAAGCACATACATTTCTGTGGAAATAATTGATTTTTAAGGCTAACAGCTTCAGCCTCCATGAGTGAAATGACTGGTTAATTACGCCCGCTATACTAGACGTTTGACCGGCTTCAGACACTGCCTAATTTTTGGCATGAGCATCGTTAGATGCAAAAGCAAGGGTCTGAAAATGGCATAGAGCATGGCTAAATGATACGCAACGCGAACAACTTGGTCAATCGGATATTGACCGCTATGGAACGCATTAGAAATCCCGTAAAAACTGCTTCTGTTTCCGAATGTAAGAACCGCTGCCGACGACCTGAAGGACCTGTGTGAAAAGTCGATAGCTGTCAATCATCGGATTCAGCAAATTGTTCGCGTTGTGAACAAATAAACCGTTTTCATTACCGCCATCAACGCACAATGCAAACACGCAGTCCGTGAACACAAAGCAAAGGTAGTGTGGTTCACATGCCTTGTCGCTACCTATGCATGATCACGAACAGAACTCACGCACGCAAAGATTTACGCACTGAAGTACGCTCCTAACTGCTTACTGTAGAGAACCTTGTTGCTTGTCGCAGGAGGTCGCCTCTGCAACCAGTTTCCCTCAAGACTACAAGTGCACCACTACAAGACTCCGAAACAATCGCTAATAAGGTTATGCCAGAACGATAACAGGTACCGCAACATCGGTCTCACGCAATTAAGCAAGTATGTGAGTAAGTTAGCTGGAGGCAGAATGCCGCCTAAAGGTGGAAAAGCGATATTTTGAGCATAAGCACCATTATGGCAATTGGAAAAGCCGCGTGAAACGTAGAAAGATTCGACTGTTGGAACAACGAACAGGATAATTATCTTCTAATAAGTACTTGCATGATCTGGAATCGTTCGATCTCCTGATACGTTAATCTGCTAGTTTCAACGATATCTTCAAATGCGATTGTATGACAGGATCACGAATGATCATCTCGCTGAGGAAACTGTTAGAAGAACTCAATCAATGGCATGTGGTTAAGTTTGATAAAATGCCCAAA